GTCATACCTGCCAACACTGAAGCCGCTGCTCAGGGTGCAGGGGAGTCTGGCCTTGGCTCCCGGAGATGCAGAGAGGGAGGGCGGCTGGGTGAGCACAGGCTGGGACAGGGACCCTGCAGACACAGACACTGGTCAGTGAGGGGCAGGGACCAGGGGCAGGTGCCCAGGAGACCCAGCAGGAAGGGAAGGAGCCTGGGCCCAGGCCTGGCCCTACCTGTGCAGAGAGAGAGGAGCGCCAGGAGCAGAGGGGTCCAGGCCATTGGTGGCTCAGCCCAGCGGGAACCCTGAGCTGCAGCCCCGGGCCCAGGCCTCTCTTATCCTCTCAGGGCCTCCCCGGGGAGGGGCCGCTCACACAAATTCGCTTCCTTCCTGGAGAGCCTGCGCCCCCCTGGCCGCCCCCCCTCAGCCTGAGCTGGGCTGTCACCCAGGCCACAGTTCTCGGGGGAGCCTCAGAGTGTCCCCCTGGGAGACAAAAGCGAGGAGGCAGCTGCTGGCACCTGCCCCAGCCCAGAGGGCACCGCCCGGAGCCCCCATCAGCACACACAGGCACCAGGGCCCAGCCCTGGGCACTGTGGGGGGTGGAACAGCTGAGGGCACCTGGATGCTGAGGCAGCCCCACAGCGCCCCCTGCTGCTCCCTGTGCCCACTGCAGCCGCTTTAGTGGATGGGGTGAGGATGCAGCCTGATGGCCAGGTCCCTGTCCTGCCTCCAGATCCATGGGCCTCAGCCTCCAGCGGCCCAGGTGACGGACACTCACCAGCAGCCGTGCCCCTGGACCGTTAGACTGCTGCGGGGAGGGAGGGGCCCCGTGGCCGCTGCCCGGGCCGGACCACCGGGGTGGGCGGGCTGGGGGCTCAGGGAGCAAAGGCCTGAGAAGCCCGGGAGTGGAAGGACAATGCAGACAGCCCAGCAGAGCAGAGACGGACGGAGAGGCACGGAGAGCAGGCCGATGGCGGGCGGAATCGAAGGGGTTAGAGAGCGGGCGAGAGGGAGGGGAAGGACAGGCTGGAAGTTGAAAAAGAATTGGGGGTGGGGGAGCGAGCAGCACAGGGAAGACAGCCAATAGCTGTGTGGGGTTCCCCTGGGGATCGGGAAATATCGGGGGTACTTTGTGAATCTATCCCTGCCAAGCCTGTGCTGCCATACACACCAGAAATTAATAGGAAATAAAATTGAAGGGAAGCTGTGATTGGAAACCATTACAAAAGCAACCCTTAGAAGGACTGATGAGAGTAAAAAAAGTAGGGTAATCTTTAAACATATTCCACAGTGTCCTCAGTGAGAATAGATTGTATTTAGTCTCACATGAGAAGGTGTTTGCATATTTTATTTATTTTATTTTTTTAATATATTTTATTGATTTTTTACAGAGAGGTAGGGAGAAGGATAGAGAGCTGGAAACATCGATGTGACAGAAACATTGATCAGCTGCCTCTTTCACACCCCTCACCATGGATGTACCCACAACCAAGGTCATTACCTTGACCGGAATCAAACCTGTGACCCCTCAGTCCACAGGCCAAGGCTCTATCCACTGAGCCAAACCGGTTTTGGCGGTTTTTGTGTATTTTATTTATTTATTTATTTATTTATTTATTTATTTATTTATTTATTTTAAATATATTTTATTGGTTTTGTACAGAGAGGGAGGAGGTAGAGAGCTAGAAACATCGATGAGAGAGAGTCATCGATCAGCTGCCTCTTGCACACCCCCTACGGGGGATGTGCCCGCAACCAACGTACATGCCCTTGACTGGAATCGAACCTGGGTCCCCTAAGTCCCCAAGCCGACGCTCTATCCATTGAGCCAAACCGGTCTCGGCGGTTTTTGTGTATTTTAATTTGAAAATAAGATCATGCTTCACACAGACCTCATAAGGGCCAGGGGTATTTATTTGGAGTCCAAAGCGGTGTGCAGTCCCATAGAAACGGCTGATTTTAAAGCCTTTAGTGATTTTTATAAGCCTCTGGGCGCTGTGACAGCTCACCGTGGAGCCTGTGGTCTGAGGGCCCCAGGCGGCTGCCAGAGCCACATCCCTGCTGAGAGGGAGGAGTGAGTGAGCGCACAGGGCACATGGGTGTTCTGGGAAGAAGGGGGCACTTCTCTGCTAAGCTGGTTATGTTCCCTCCCCCTTGGGAAGGACCCGGTGCCATCAGCAGCCAGGAAAGCTGAGAAAGTGACTATCTGTTCCCCCTGACCCGCGGGAACGGACCAGGGTGCCCGGGAGGGGGTGAGGCGGTCACTTCCCAGGGAAGCCAGCGGCTCCGCCCCCGCGGGCCTGTGCTCACAGCGCCTGGTCCCGGCTCTCCTCCCCTGTGGACCTGTGGCCCCTCTGCTCACAGCATCTCTTAACCCCACACCCCGGGCCAGGCCTGCGGGGACCAGTCAGGCAGGTCCTGCCTCTGTGCATGTGTCAGCAGCTTGGGGCGAGGAGGTTGGGTTTTTGTCCCACTTCCCCGTCTGAGTGTGTCACTGTGCTGAGCACTGCTCTCATACACCTGACAGTAATAGTCGGCCTCGTCCTCGGGCTGCAGCCCCGAGATGAGCAGATGCGCTGTGTTGGTCGAGGCGTCTTTGGATCCAGAGAAGCGGCTGGGGACCCCAGGTCCCAAGTTTGTACTTGAGGAGTAGTACAGGAGATACCGGGGCCGGCTCCCTGGCTTCTGCTGGTACCAGTAGATGTTTTTACCACCAACACTGAGGTCGCTGCTCAGGGTGCAGGGGAGTCTGGCTGTGGCTCCCGGAGAGGCAGAGAGGGAGGGCGGCTGGGTCAGCACAGGCTGGGACAGGGACCCTGCAGACACAGACACAGGGGGGTGAGAAGAAGGACAGGGGCAGGGGTTGCGGGTGCCTGAGGCCTGTGGCTACCTGTGCAGTGAGCGAGGAGCAGGAGGAGCACAGGGGGCCAGGCCATGGTGCTCACAGCTGATCCTGGGTCCTCAGAGCCAGGGCTGAGCTGCTCAGGCTCCAGGCTCCTCTTATCCCCGCCCAGCTGGCCTGGCAGAGGAGGGGCAGCTCATGCAAATGTGCCCCCCGCCCTTTCCCCAGGGCCACAGAGGGCTGTGGGGCCCTTGCCCAGGAGGCCAGCCTGTGCACCAGTGTCCCCACGGGTGGGGCTGGGAGGAAGCAGCTGCTGGGGCCGCACACAGCCACGTGCAGGGACTCAGGCCCAGAGACTCCACGCCTGCCCAGTTCCCACAGGAATCAAAGGGCCCAGCCCAGGGGCCTGGGGTCCCTGGAGGGCTGCCCAGCTGGGAGCCCCAGTTTTGCAGAAACCCCCATAGCCGGTCTCGTGGCGCCCTCTGCTGGCCTCGGGGAGCCCCTTTTGCGGTCACCGTGCTCCAGAGCCTGCTTCACCCAGTCCTTGAACCTGTGCTTCCAGCATTGAGACTCATCCTCCAGGGGGCGGCCTTGGGTGACCCTCCCTGAATCGGGCGCAGGAACCCTGACCCAGGCACAGCGCGGGGAACAGAGGGCAGAGTGGATCTGCCCCTGCAGGGGCTCAGAGGAGGGGCTCGCTCTGGGTGCTGAGCGGAAGGGGCCCTCATGAAGGGGACACAGACCTTCACGGAGCAGCTGGGGGGAGGGGGCGGGACCAGAGCACGGGGAGAAGGGGTCCTGCCCTGGGCTCTGGGGTTTGTTCTGGTGGAAGAAGCAGGTGGGACCCGGAGCTTCCCCGGGAACGCGGCCCATCCTCCCGCCAGGACTGCCTGTGAGCATGAGAGATGGCCTGCCCTCTGCTCCCCACAGGCCTCTGCTTACCCACATGCCTCTGCTCATCCACACCCTCTGCTCCCCACAGGCCTCTGCTTACCCACAGGCCTCTGCTCACCCACAGGCCTTTGCTTACCCACAGGCCTCTGCTTACCCACATGCCTCTGCTCATCCACACCCTCTGCTCCCCACAGGCCTCTGCTCACCCACAGGCCTTTGCTTACCCTCAGGCCTTTGCACACCCTTGGTTTACCCATAGGCCTCTGCTCACCCACAGGCCTTTGCTTACCCACAGTCCTTTGCTCATCCTTGGTTTACCCACAGGCCTTTGCTCACCCACAGACCTTTGCTTACCCACAGGCCTTTGCAAATCTCCAGCCACATTACGTGTGAACTGCCCATTTGGCCACCCTGTGCCTGTGTCCCCTGTAATCCTTGTCCTTCTGCCAATACAGGTGCGGGGTGCAGAGCAGATGTGTGTGGGTGCCCCGCTGCTCTCCCCGGCTGCCGGGAGGACGGGAATGAACGCTCCTCTGATGCCTCCCGGTCTCCGCGGAACCGGCTCCATGGACATCAGCGCGGGCCCAGGGCAGGTCCGGCTCCACTGAGACCTCCCGCCATGTGCCGGGACCTTTTTACTCCGGCTGCCCCTGTGCCGGGGCCGGTGCCAGGCCTGCAGGTTGCAGACTTAGCTCTAAGGAAAGTTCTAGGAGGAAGCAGGGCAGAGAGACCTTGTGAGGGGCGTTCTGGGGCAGCTGGAGGAAGTGACAACAGAAAACGGGAGGGAGGATGGCACGTGTCCCCAGTCAGGACCTGGGGAGGCGACCGGCGGAGCCCCAGGTCGGGAGGGCGGAAGAAATGGCAGGAGTGTCACGTGGTGGGAGTAGCTCTGAGAGGTGGGGTGCCCCCTGACCCCCCAGACTCAGGGGAGGTCAGGTGGGGGAGCAGGCATGTGGCTGAATCTGGGGTTTGTTGTGCATTTGTCACCCCGAGATTTTGGGCTAGACATAGGGGTGTGTGAGCAAACATCAGCCCGGCCGGCGGGGCTCAGGCATTGAGCATTGACCTATGACCCAGGAGGTCACGGGTCAATCCCTGGTCAGGGCACAGACCCTCTTGATGGCCTCAGTCCCCAGTGGGGGACGTTCAGAAGGCAGCTGGCCCATGATTCTCTCTCATCATTGATGTTTCTGTCTCTCTGTCCCTCCCTGGGGGGCGGGCGGGCCTGTGCCCGATGAGGGGGCGCTGGGCAGACTCCCTTTGTTTGACACCCAAGGGCAGACAGTCATCCCCTCTGGGCCAGGGGTTTTGGTCTCACTTCCTCGTCCTCTGAGGCACTGTGGGTAACGAAAGCTGCTCCCACTACCATGAGCTGTAGCGCAGTAATAGTGAGCCTCGTCCTCAGGCTGCAGCCCCGAGATGGTCAGGAGCCCCGCATTGGCCGAGGCGTCTTTGGATCCAGAGAAGCGGCTGGGGACCCCGGAGCCCTGGTCCTTATCTGAGTCTGAGTAGTAATACAGGAGATACCGGGGAGGGCTCCCTGGCTTCTGCTGGTACCAGTATATCCAGTAATCACCAACATTGTAGCCGCTGCTCAGGGTGCAGGTGAGTCTGGCTGTGGCTCCCGGAGAGGCAGAGAGGGAGGGCGGCTGGGTCAGCACAGGCTGGGAGAGGGACCCTGCAGACAAGACACTTGTCAGTGAGGGGCAGGGACCAGGGGCAGGTGCCCAGGAGACCGAGCAGGGAGGAAAGGAGCCTGGGCCCAGGCCTGGCCCTACCTGTGCAGAGAGAGAGGAGCGCCAGGAGCAGAGGAGTCCAGGCCATGGTGCTCACAGCCCTGAGCCCACAGTGGGGCTGGGCTGCCCAGGCCTCCTTTTCACCCCCGCCCTCTGCCAGAGGAGGGGCTGCCATGCAAATGGGGGTCCCTCCACACTGCCCAGCCCCTCCCTGGGCCCTGGGGCTGCAGCTCAGCTCACACCCCAGACTGAGGGGCATGGAGGTGGGCTCACCCATTGGGGGCGCTGGGAGGAAGCACCTGCTGAGACCACACAGGTGGACCTGCTCAGGGGGCACTGCCAGGCCTGAGAGGACACAGCTGCTGAGTCCCCTGCAGGCAGCTCAGGGCTCCCCTCTGAGGGAATGGTCCTCCCTCAGCTGCAGTGTGAAGCCCACAGAGCGGTCCCCAGCACCCCCTGCTGGCCACAGGCCCCACAGCTTCAGGTTTCTCTGCTCACATGTGTGTGGGCTCCTTACAGCTGCTGTTCCCCTGAGACACTGTGGGCCCCAGTCCCAGGGCCCTCTGAGGCGAAAGGTCAAAGTGCACGTAGGGAACATGAAGGCTGGGGGTCACTCTCCATGAATGGCAGATGCGCAGTGAGCTCTTCCCCCAGCAGCACAGGGAAGGGGTCGGGGGCCGGGGTGCAGGGGTCAGGGGGCCACTCACTCCATTAGGAACCCGGTCCTGTGGGGTGAGGGGCGTCTGTCCCCTCTGGTCGCTGCAGCCACACGACCCTCAGCCGCGGGGCTTTCGGGCCTCAGGAGGCACAGGACAGGGTGAGCCCCAGACCCCTGTGTCTACGCTGACACCACAGCCTGTGTCCATGACCAGGGGGAACACGCACATGTCACATGGGACGGATCAGGAGTCACAGAGGGTCACACACGTGACAGGAATGTGTGGGGAGCATGGCTGTCTGGGGGTCCCTGTGTGGGTGCAGACACAGTGTGTGAGATGACAGGAAACATATGCTGGTCTCCGCCCCTGGCCCCTGCACAGGCTCCTGAGTCCCTTGTCACTCCCTGGGGGGCGGGCGGGCCTGTGGTTGATGAACAGGCGCTGGGCGGGCTCCTGGGTGAGGACAGGCCAAGGGAGAGGTCGGGAGGATGAGAAGCTGGGGAGCCCCTCACCTGCGCCCCGTTCCATTAAAGGGAGAGGGCTCGGGTGCAGTTAGCTAATGAATACGGCACCTTAATAGAGATCATGGGCGTTTTCCTGGGAACCTTTGATCACAGCCCATGCGTTGGGTGAATCCTCGGACCTCCTGCCTATAATTGGCATCTGACCTGCCGGCATCAGGGGGACTGGCCCTTTAACTGCAGGTCTGACACCCTCTCTGGGCAGCTGGGTGAGCACTGAGTGCTGTTGTGGGGCATCAGCTGGGGTCAGAGAACTGCTGTCGGGGAGCCACTCCCCACACATTGGGGGTCAGAAGGGCCAAGAGGGAAGAGCTCTGGGGAAGCAGCAGACAGACAAACAAGGGGAAAGAAGGGACTTTTATTTACAAATATTCACTCAGCCCAGCCAGCCTGGGTCAGAGTGGAGCGGTGGCCTGTGAGCCAGGAAGTTTCAGTGGGTCCTGGTCGGGGCCATGGCCGGGCTGCATTCTCCATCCCCAGGAGGAGGCGCCCAGGGGGCAGCTGGTCCATGATTCTCCTCATCAGTGTGTCTATTCCTCGCCTTCTCCCTTCCTCTCTGAGATCAATGAAAATATGCTTTAATTTTTTAAAAATAAAAACATTCACTCAGTGTCATCAGCTCTTACTGTGTTCCTGACAGCATGCCGTGTGCTGAGGTGAGACTTACACCCTCACGCACAGGGAGTAAGAACACAGTCCGTTCTCAGCAGCTGTCGGTCCTCAGGGCAGTGAGGGTGTCATTGCTGATCTCAGTGGCATGCTCAGGAGCCATGATGGACCAGGAGCATTCTGGGATATGGCTTCAGTCAGTCCCGACTCCAATGAGGATAAAATGAGCCAAATAATAATATTCCTTCTTCTTAGAATCCCCCGACACGTGATGGAGGGCGGGGCCCCTGACCTCCCGTGTGCTCCTGGGACGCCTGTGCTGCTGCTCCATCGAGTGTGACCTCCCTCCTCCCGGGACACAGGTCCCTGCAGGGGAGCCACCGACATGGGCCCCACAAGCTCCTGGCTGCAGGAGGCTCCGAGCCCCCGCCTCGGGGCCAGGGTTTTGGTCTCACTTCCTCGTCCTCTGAGTCACTGTGGGTAACGGTTGCTGTTCCCATCGCCCAGATCTGCATTGCAGTGATACTCAGCCTCATCCTCAGGCTGCAGCCCCGAGATGGTCAGGAGCCCCGCATTGGCCGAGGCGTCTTTGGATCCAGAGAAGCGGCTGGGGACCCCGGAGCCCTGGTACTTATCTGAGTCTGATTTATATTTCAGGAGATACCGGGGAGGGCTCCCTGGCTTCTGCTCGAACCAGCGTATAGCATAGTCACCAACACTGAAGCCGCTGCTCAGCGTGCAGGTGAGTCTGGCTGTGGCTCCCGGAGATGCAGAGAGGGAGGGCGGCTGGGTCAGCACAGGCTGGGAGAGGGACCCTGCAGACACAGACACTGGTCAGTGAGGGGCAGGGACCAGGGGCAGGTGCCCAGGAGACCCAGCAGGAAGGGAAGGAGCCTGGGCCCAGGCCTGGCCCTACCTGTGCAGTGAGAGAGGAGCGCCAGGAGCAGAGGAGTCCAGGCCATGGTGCTCACAGCCCTGAGCCCACAGTGGGGCTGGGCTGCCCAGGCCTCCTTTTCTCCCCTGCCCTCTGCCAGGGGAGGGGCTGCCATGCAAATGGGGGCCCTCCAGGCACTGCCCAGCCCCTCCCTGGGCCCTGGGGCTGCAGCTCAGCTCACACCCCAGACTGAGGGGCAGGGAGGTGGGCTCAGCCCTTGGGGGGCCCTGGGAGGAAGCACCTGCTGAGACACTACATCACTGAGCACAGGGCCCAGCCTCATGCCCAGGCTCCTATCAGTTAAGGGTCCTTAATGTGCAGCTGCATTTGGACCACAGGGCGGTCCCACAGCGCCCCCTTCTTGGTGGCAGCACACACCTGCCCTTGGCCCAAAGCTCTGAGAGCCCAGCTGGACCTGCAGCTCAGAGGGGATTGTCTGTGGCCGGGTCCCGGGTCCTGTGCCTGATGCCTGGAGCGCTCCCTGCAGCCTCCCTCCCAGGAGGAGTCCCGCCTGTGGGAGGCGCCATCAGGTCCACCAAGGACAAATGGACGTGGTTTCCCCTCCAGTGCAGATGGTGCACAAGTGAGTGCACAGGACCCTCCTGTCCCACATCACAGCCCAGGGACCCCTGCCTCCGGAGACCGGGACTCAGAGGGCTGCTCAGGGCGTTTCCCGGGAACACACTCAGGACCAAAATCTAAGGAGGACGTCTCTCCAGACCTTCCATGCTATGAGGGGCACGTGCAGGCTCACAGAGATCTGATGGGACGGACCCATAAGCATCATGGCGTCTGCAGGCCTCCCGTGGGCCAGTGGGAGGAGCCACAGCTCATTCATTCAGGAACTGACTTTTGTCACCTGTGTGGTGATCTGCATAGCTGTGTCCTGTGCTTCTTGTTTGGATTTTTTCAGTGTTCCGAAATTTGTTTATATTTTAAATAAATCTATACCTCCTGTGCGTTCTGTCTCAGTGTTTATTTTGTGACATGTGGGAGATTGCGATGTGTTTGAAGATGCCGGGAAATGGGGGCGGGTGATGTCCTGTCATCTGAGCGTGGACAGGGAGCTGGCCGTGGTGCTGATGGAGCTGAGGAGGGACAGGGTGTCCTGTGTGTGGCGCTGGGAGGGGGCGGGTGTGGGAGCAGAATAAAGGCCTGACCGGCCCGTGTGCCCTCAGCTCTCTTTTACCCGCTTCCTGCCCCCGCGTCACCGTGTGCGGCCCCGTGTCAGTCACACAGACACCTCACGCCCTTCATTTTCCTTCATGAATCCCCCTATTCCCAACCCCCAGGCAACTTATTAACTGTTGTTGTTCCCATGGTAGACCTTCGCCTGTATAGTGTCATGTGACATTGAGTAACTTACAGACCGTACATTCAGGGAAATGTGAGCAGACAGTAGATTGTCTGCCATGTGTTCGGCAGGTCATGTGCCCGTGGAGGGCGTCCTGTCTCCCATCCTCACTGATGGCTCCTCACACGCCTGCCCCTCCTGTCTGCTCTCTGGGACGAACATGGGGATTAAAACAAGGGCCTGGGCCTGGGTTCATTCATCTTTTATCCCATGCTTATCACCTCTTCCCGAGAGATAAAGGAGGATGGAGCAGTACACGGATGAGCGCTGGGGAAATTGTAAATATTAACTGTGCTCCTAGTTCAACCAGGAATGGCGCCCCGCTCTGGTTGAGAGGAGATTGCACCTGACTGTTGCCTGTGACTGGATTCAGGCTCTCTGAGCTCAGGTGAGTTGGTTTGGTCTGACAGGTGGGAACACAGAGGCAGAGGCAGAGGCCACATCTAGTCTCCCTCCAGCTGACGGGCATGAAGAGGCCTGAAGGTCAAAGTCTGCCTAAAAGCTGAGAACATGTGCTTTGGACAACGTGTTTCTCAAGCTGGGGTGATTTGGCACCCCCGGGGGCTGATTGGAGACGTCAGGGGGTGTTATTCTGGGTGAGAGCCTAGAGAAGAGGGTGCTGCTGCCTCTCCCAGGTGGGGCCCAGAGGAAGATTCCAGAAGTCCCACATGGGCAGAGCAGCCCCCTCCCAGGCCTCGCCCCAACCCCGTTGTCAGAAGTGCCCAGGCCCAGCTGCCCACAGGGAGGACTGCATAAGACACAGAGCAGCATCCTTCAGGTCAGGGGGAGAGTGAATGACACAGAGGGCCTCAGAGCCTCCTTCTCAGCACAGGCCTTTCAGCAGGAGGCAGCAGAGAGCGCCCCCTGGTGGGGCAGGTGAAGGCAGCCCCAGGGTGGAGGCTCTGGAGGTTTTTGTCTCACTTCCCCGTGGGTCTGAATCACTGTGGTTATAGCCACTATGATAGGTCAGACAGTAATAGTGAGCCTCGTCCTCAGGCTGCAGCCCCGAGATGGTCAGGAGCCCCGCATTGGCCGAGGCGTCTTTGGATCCAGAGAAGCGGCTGGGGACTCCGGAGCCCTGGTGTTTCTCTGAGTCTGATTTATATTGCAGGAGATACCGGGGACGGCTCCCTGGCTTCTGCTGGTACCAGGATATGTAGTAGCTGTGCCCTCCCCGTCCTGGCCGCCCAGGCAACCGCCCCCTGAGGCCCAGGACGGTCTGCTCAGGCTGAGACACGCACATGTGTGCTGCTGCCACGGGTGGCCTGGCAGGCAGGGGCACAGGGGGAGACAGAATTGCAGACACAGTCCCCTGGGAGGGGGGGCTCAGACACCGGTTTCCGGCCGCCCCCCAAAGGCACAGCCACCTGATCGGAGGATGGGGCTGCCCCGGACCCAGTACAGCGGCACAGAGGGTTTTTGTCTCACTTCCCCACAGGCCTGGGGCACTGTGGGAGCATCCAGAGTGTCATCATAGGACTGACAGTGATAAATGGCCTCGTCCTCAGCCTGCAGCCCCGTGATGGTCAGGGTGCCTGAGCTGCCAGACTTGGAGCCAGAGAATCGGTCCGGGACCCCGGAGGCTCTATCGCTATCATCATAGATGATGAGTTTGGGGGCCTTTCCTGGGAGCTGCTGGTACCAGGACACATAGTTACCCCCAATGTTGGAGCTGCTTCCTTTGCAGGAGATCGTGACCCTCTGGCTGGGGGACCCCGACACTGAGGCCGGCTGAGTCAGCACAGACTGGGCCCAGGATCCTGGAAGAGGGGGAGACACAGAGAGAGTGAGTCTGGGTCTGGAGACAAGAGGAGGAAGCAGGGCCCATGTGTCTTCCCAAGGCCCCTTCCCCTGTCCCCTATCCAGTCACCTGTGCAGTGAGCCAGGAGGCTGAGGAGGAGAGGGGCCCAGGCCATGGTGGAGGTCATCCCTGAGTCCTGCCTCCTGTGCCCACAGCTGAAGCAGAGCTCCCCACCTCTCTCCCTGCCCCTCTTCATAGTCAGCGGGAGGGAGGGCCCTTTTATGCAAATGAGACCCCATCTATTTGATCCTCCCTGGGCCCTGGGTGGGTCCCTGTGCCTGAGGATGGCAGGGTGAGGGCAGGGGTGGGGCTGGGTGGGGCCCAGGGGGCTGGCAAGGTCACAGCTGTGTGCCCTGAGCATAGGGCACCATGCAGGACCAGGGAACAGGCTGCAGCTGTGATGAGCCCAGCCCTTCAGCAGCGGTTCCTGCGCGCCCCCTGGTGGCCAGGCCTGGACGCACCACTGTGTCCCCTGCTGACTAAGGCCCAGGAGGGACAGTCCTGCCTCCCCCCTGCTCTGGGCACTGACCCCCTGGCTCAGGGCATCCAGGTGCCCCCTGAGGTGGCCTCCCCGTCCCCTCAGGACACTCTCTGCTCCACTCCGCCTCCTCCTGGGAGTTGGGGCCCGTCTCCCTGGCCGGTCACGGTCAGACCTGAGCTGCTGTCACTCAGGGAACGTGCTTCCCAGGGTCAGGTCCAGAGCAGCCTCTGTGCCCAGGTGTCGAGTCCCTTATTGTCATGACACGGTTTTATTTTTATAGGTGGTTCATTGGAGCCCAGGTCCGGCTCCTGGGAGCTCAGAGGTCCCTGGCGATGTCTGCCTGAAGCCGATCGTCGTTTTAATCACAGAGAGCTGTGGACAGGGAGTCGGAGGGCTGGTCAACCTCAATCGCTCTGAAGTGTCAGAGCTAATGGCTGCACATTGGCAGCTGAAGCAGCCCCACCTGTGAGTCCTACACGCACTGATTGGCTGTGATTGGAGTCTCCTGCCCAGGGAATACGAGTGGATCCTATCATTTTAATCTTAATAAAAGGGATGGAAAAGCCAGAGTGAGGAGTACCTCTCTCCCTAAAGGTGGGCTCCCGCCTGGCCCCCATTTCCCAAATTAAATCTGTTCTAAACTCTCTTTTCCTTTGTGTGCGTCCTTCTCCAGAACCCGAACCCTGAACCGGAACCCAGCTGGTGCCCTTCCCGTGGGTGTGGACAAGCCCCTGCCGGGTCAGCTCACCTCAGGCGGGCGCCCGGGCTCAGGGAGTGGAATTGATATCACTGTGGGTGTGCACTGAGCTGCATTTTTATTTCTTAGAGAGAAATTAACTCAGTGACTTGGACTCGGGAAATGGCGTGTGGAATAGGATGAGGAGAAGCTGTGGAAACCCTGCTTTAAATCTCACACACATCCTTCCCCGAGTGGGGCAGGGACAGAGAGCGTCCGTGTCCCTCGGCTCTGAGCTGGGAGCAGGCGGCCCTGGGGGACCCGGTCACAGAGGGGGGACAGGGTGGTCAGTGTTGTGCCACCCAGGAGTGCTGAGTCACGGTTTGGAAAGCGGGGACAGGGTGACCCTGTGGCATTAGGAAACCAGGAAGAGAGAGGGAGGGGGTGTTGAGCCCATGGAAATAGGCAACAGGGAGAGCGGGGTCCCCTGGTTCACATCACAGGGACAGGGAGCCCCGTGGCTCTGCAGGAGAGGAGGCAGGTGCTCCCTAAGCTACGTATGGCCTGGAGGCTCCTGGTGGCAGCGGGTTTATTAAGTCACCTGACAGCCTAGACATGTGATATGTTCCTGTTCCTCCTGGTCATGGACACAGTCTGTGGGCCGGATCTGGTGCTCAGTGGTTTGGGCATTGACCTGGGAATGAAAAGGTCATGGATCAATTCCCAGTCAGAGCGCATGTCCGGGTTTCAAGCTCAATCCCCAGTGTGGGGCCAGCAGGAGGCAGCCGGTCAATGATTCGCTCTCATCATTGATGTTTCTCTCTCTCTCTCTCTCTCTCTCTCTCTGTCCCTCTCCCTCTCCTTCTCTCCCTCTCTCTTCCATGTCTACTTTGCAAAAAGATGTTTTTCAACAGGTTCAGTTGTTAGGAACCCAGACTCGGGGGAGGTGGAGGTTTTTGTCCCACTTCCCCATCTGTGTGTGTCACTGTGAGAATCAGTATTTTCCCCAATCAGACAGTAATAGTCGGCCTCATCCTCAGGCTGCAGCCCCGAGATGGTCAGGAGCCCCGCATTGGCCGAGGCGTCTTTGGATCCAGAGAAGCGACTGGGGACCCCGGAGCCCTGGTGCTTATCTGAGTCTGATTTATATGCCAGGAGATACCGGGGAGGGCTCCCTGGCTTCTGCTGGTACCAGTATATCCAGTAATTACTAAATGGATAGGAAATACCACTCAGGGTGCAGGTGAGTCTGGCTGTGGCTCCCGGAGAGGCAGAGAGGGAGGGCGGCTGGGTCAGCACAGGCTGGGACAGGGACCCTGCAGACACAGACACTGGTCAGGGAGGGGCAGGGACCAGGGGCAGGTTCCCAGGAGACCGAGCAGGGAGGAAAGGAGCCTGGGCCCAGGCCTGGCCCTACCTGTGCAGTGAGAGAGGAGCGCCAGGAGCAGAGGGGTCCAGGCCATGGTGCTCACAGCCCTGAGCCCACAGTGGGGCTGGGCTGCCCAGGCCTCCTTTTCTCCCCTGCCCTCTGCCAGGGGAGGGGCTGCCATGCAAATGGGGGTCCCTCCAGGGACTGCCCAGCCCCTCCCTGGGCCCTGGCGCTGCAGCTCAGCTCACACCCCAGACTGAGGGGCATGGAGCTGGGCTCAGCCCTTGGGGGGCCCTGGGAGGAAGCACCTGCTGAGACCACACAAGGTTCCTCGCTCAGGGGGCGCTGCCATCCAGAGCTGACCCAGCTGCTCAGTCTCCTCAGTGAGCACAGGGCCCAGCTGGAGGCCCAGGCATTCTGAGGGCACAGTCTTCACTGAGCAGCTCTGCAGGAATCCCAGGGCCGCCCTGCAGTGCCCCCTCCTGTCAGGTAGAACTGTAACAAGTGGGTCAGCAGTTCTACAATATAAACATTGAGCGAGAACCTCTAGTGAAAACAGATAAAATGTACACTCTCCTCGGAAGATACAGAATTGGCTCTGAAAGAAGTAAAGTAATTAAAAGGCCAAATATTAGTAGAAAAAATAGAAAATGTAATGAACCACTCCAGTGAGGAGCATAAGATGCAGGCGTTTCACAGGGAACTCTGCCAAACCCTCCGAGATCAGATGGCTCCAATTTAACGGGCACAGATTTTTCAATAACATTTAACAGTAAGTAGGATGTCATAGTGTTTTTGTTTTCATATTGATGAACACAGCTTACACATAAGTTATAGACAATGAAAAAATAACGGCCAATGGCTTTAAATATTCCCATTAATGTTTAAAATGAAATATGAGCAGATGGCCCTGCATTATTATGTCGAGTGATTTAACCCAATGATACAAGTTTTGCTTCATATTAATAAAACTTTAAATGTAACACAACATAACACATTCAGTAAATATGATCATACTAGGGGCCCTGTGCAAGAAATTCCTGCACCAGGCGGAGGAGAGGGTCCCTCAGCCTTGCCTGTGCCCTTTGCCAGTAAGGGACCCACGGGGGATATCTGACTGCCGACTTAGGCCCAATCACCTGCGCCTAAGTCAGACATCCATCCCTCTTACAGTCTCAGATCCCAATCGCAGTCAGGGAACCATTGCTCTATACCACTCGCCTCCTCACTGCACCTTACAGCTTCTACACGGGTGGGGAGGCTCCCGTCACTGCCACTGACCTCGCCAGCTGTGAGCCAGCTTCTGGCTGAGCTGTGCTCCCCTTGTGGGAGCGCACTGACCACCAGGGGGCAGCTCCTGTGTTGGACGTCTGTCCCCTGTGGTCACTGCTCATCATAGCAACCAGTCAGTCCACCATTTGGTGAATTTGCATATTAGTCTTTTATGATATAGGATAGATAGCTCACATTATTAGATCAACAGATAAGCTCATGTTATCCTAATTGATCTTGTGACAGAGCCTTTGACCAAATCTAAAACATATTTCTTTTTTTTAAAAAATATATTTTATTGATTTTGTACAGAGAGAAAGGGAGAGAGATGGAGAGTTAGAAACATCAATGAGAGAGTCATCGATCAGTTGCCTCTTGCACACCCCTACTGGGGATATGCCCGCAACCAAGGTACATGCCCTTGACCAGAATCGAACCTGGGAACCTTCAGTCCCCAAGCCGACACTCTATCCATTGAGCCAAACCGGTCTCGGCTCTAAAACATATTTCTAATAAACACACACAGATGGAAACAGAGACGTTTACAATATGGAAACTTCACTCTCTCCACAGACAGAAGGCTGACTCCCACACCAGCATCTTAGCCAATGGGTGGGGTTAGCTAAGATGTGAAGACATAAGACTTAACCCCACAGCCATCAGGAACGGGCTGTGTGACTGACACTAAACGATGAGTCAGCATGACTCTGCACGTTTAGAGGCTGCACAGGAACAGGGGGAGACCAGTGGTTAGCCCTCATCATGGATGGGGTGGACAGCAGTCCCGCCCAAAGCCCCAGGCCTGAGCCAGCCCGGGCCACGGGTCCCGGCCCAGCAGTGACGGGGGAGCCCCCAGGGCAGCGCGGTGGGCACAGGGAGAGCAGCCTGGCTATCGGCCTCAGCCCAGCGATGGACAGGAAGCCCCTCCCAGACCGGAGCCCAAAGGTCCATCCCAAACCCTAGGGGTCCCTCCACAGAGGAGCTGAGGGCAGGCTGCTCCTGGGCCCCTGGTGGACATTGTGCATGTGCTCCACTCAGACCCAGGTGGACCCCGGGGCCTGGGCCTGCCCTGACCCACCGTGGCCTCTGCCCAGGGCAGTTTGCCTGGCACCCGGAGTTTCTCCTCCATGTGAGGAAATCAAGGCTGGAGGGGAGAGGGCGGGAATGAAAGGATGGGGACAGGTTTTCTGAACCAAGTTCACTGAATGGGTCTCAGGCCCGGGTCCGGGCAGGCACAGGAAGCAGCTGACTTGTCGGAGGAGAGGGGTCGGCTAGGGGAGCCCCGTGTCAAGAGGGACAGCAGGTTTTTGTCTCACT